TTCGTGACGTGCTAGTATCACCCGAACTTGCTTCCAACTTATTGTCGATTGGTCAATTGGTGGATAACAATTGTAATGTTAATTTTTCCCGTGTTGGTTGTCTTGTGCAGGAGCAGGTGTTGGGGAACTTTATTGAATTCTTATGAGGTTTGGCATAGAAAATTAGGTCATCCAAATTCTGTTGTTTTGTCTCATTTATTTAAAATTGGTTTGTTGGGAAATAAACATGCTTGTACTGCTCCAATTTCATGTTTTGTTTGCAAATTGACTAAAAGTAAAACACTTCCTTTTCCGTGAGGTGCTCATCGTGCTTCTACTTTTTTTGAGATGATTCATAGTGATGTGTGGGGGAATGTCTCATGCAGCATCTCATGCTCACTATAAATATTTTGTCATATTTATTGATGATTGCAACCGCATTACTTGGATATACTTTCTTAGGTCTAAGTCTGAAGTATTTTCTATGTTTCAGAATTTTTTGACATATGTTGAAAATCAATTTCAAGCAAGTGCTAAAAAATTTCGATCTGACTCAGGAGGTGAGTATATGTCTCATGAATTTCAGGAATACCTTCAACAAAAGGGGATATTGTCTCAACAGTCTTGTCTCAATACCCCTCAACAAAACGGGATGGCAGAGCAAAAGAATTGCCATTTACTTGATGTAATGCGCACCTTACTTCTTCAAGCTTTTGTGTCATCCCGATTTTGAGTAGAGGTTCTTTCCACAATCGTATTCTTGATCAATCGTCTTCCTTCTACGGTTATTGATTTTGATTCTCCATTCTCTCGCCTTTTTAAAATTCAGCCTAATTATAGTGATTTACATACTTTTGGGTGTGTTTGTTTTGTATACTTACCTCCATTTGAAAGGCATAAGCTTGGAGCGCAGTCTGTTCAATGTGCATTTATGGGGTATCGTCATTCTCATAATGGATTCGTGTATTATGATGTCACTAACCATCATTTTCGCATTTCTAGGAATGTGACATTTTTTGATAATCGGTTTATGTTTCCCTGTGTTTCTCCCGTCATTCATGATATTGTTACTCTTCCTAAGTTTTCTATTATGCCTCAATCTATTAAACATTACAAACCAGGTCATGTATATGTCAGAAAACACAGACAACAGGTTTCCACACCCCTTCCCGACGCTAAACCTCCACTTGATCTTGTATCGGTTGAATGACGACGTTATGGTCGAATATCTCGCGCACCAGATAGATATTCACCAGACAGGTATGATTCCTCACATACTTTTGTGGCTACCAACCTCTCTAGCATATTTATTCCTACTTGTTACTCACAGGCTGTTAAAGGTGTGTGATGGATAAAAGCAATGAATGAGGTGCTTCAAGCTCTTCAAGAGAATTTCACATGGGATATTGTCTCTTGTCCTCTTGAGATTTTTTTTTTGCAATAATCAGGTATTAAAAAAAAATCGCAAATAACCACGTTTCGGAAAAAATTACACAAATAACCATGTTTCAGATGACTCCCCAAAGGAGGAGCCATCTCACTTGGCACCTCCACCTAGGGTTTTGCCCTAGGCGCCATCTCACTTGGCACCTCCTCTCTCTTTTAGCCAAGTGAGATGGCGCATGCACTTTAAAAGTGAGAGGAGACGCCACCACAGTCCCCACCACAACACAATTACACCCAAATTCCCCACAACCAACTACAATCACCACCTCAGTACCAATACCCCCATATGCCTCACACCCAACCGTAATACCAATCACAATACCAACACACCCGTATACCCCACACACAATTTCAGTCTTCTGTATACCCCAATATGGGCCCCTCAACATCCAGCCTTAGCCCTGATCTGGGAATGTCGGAAGATTACGAACCAACTGACCCAACTTACCATCAACCACAGTATCACCAAACCACCCAACATCCTCAATACCAAACACCCCAAGATCCATTTCCTTTCTACCCCCCGTACTCAGACGATCAATGCTACAGACTCACTATGGAACCCCACCCACTGCCAACACGACCAAACTTTGAGGGTATGGGTAACCGACTGTACCAAAACAGATCTTCTAGATATGGAGATCTGACTGATTTCATGGATTCGGAACGCATTGACTTCGCTGGGCCATCGACCCTGCCACAACAGGAAACGCGACGACACCCAGCACGGGAAAGGAGAAGACGGGGATGCGGAACCGGGGGTCATTACCGGGTTCCGGGGGATCACTGATTTATCTGTTTTTTTATCTGTTTTTTAATGTAATACATATGGGTGTAATCATTTTTTTAAAATAAAAAGTCAATTTTGTTGATCCTGTATCGAATACGCAACGCACTGGACTGGAAAAAAAAAGCGAAATTTGCCCTAGAATTGCACTAAGGCGCCATCTCACTTGGCTTAGGGCATGCCCTAAGCACCTAGGCGCCAAGTGAGATGGCGCCTCCCCTTAAATAATGGGTGTAGGCTCCAAGTGAGATGGCTCCTCCTTTGGGGAGTCATCTGAAACATGGTTATTTGCGTAATTTTTTTCGAAACGTGGTTATTTGCGATTTTTTTTAATACATGGTTATTCAAAATAAAATTCTCCTCTTGATGTCAAACCTATAGGTTGCAAATGAGTGTATTATGTGAAATTGAATTTTGATGGATGTAACACCCCATTTCTACCCAACGAGTTAAATAAAATCAGAGTTATAAAAATTTCCAACAAACAAATGAAATGCTACACTTTCAACTTAAAACTACGACATTCAATCATATATAGTTCGATATCTCACCCCTTCTGTTTGAATTTTGCCCTCTGTTGGTAACGTGCAGGTAATCAAGAAGGTTAGTTGTTACCCTCGTTAGTTCGAGTCAGTGTTGTCTCTCTGATACGTAGCACTCTGGGGGATGAACGCGTGTTTTCTTTATTGTTGATTTTCATTATGTTGCTGAATTTTTAAGTTGTTTTCATTAAAGACTTGTTGTCTTAAAGTTGTTTTGAGTTGGATAAAATGTTATGGTGTGTTCAGTTGAATTTTGTGAATCCGCTGCGTAGTAATGAAAGTTGTTTTTATTTTTAAAGACTAAGCTGGTTGTTATCGGTTCATCTGAAGCTCATGTGTTATGTATCTGAACTATGAATGATTGAATGTCGTAGTTTTAAGTTGAAAGTGTAGCATTCCATTGTTTGTTGAAATTTTTTATAACTATGACTTTATTTAACTCATTGGATAGAAATGGGGTGTTACAATGAGTCCCTCAACTGCTACAAGGCTCGTTTGGTTGCTTTGGGAAACAAGCATGAATATGGAATTGATTATGATTAGACATTTGCACCGGTTTCCAAAATGATAATTGTTCGCACGATCATCTCTATAGTTGCTTCTAGTGGGTGGTCTTTTCATCAAATGGATATGAAGATTGTTTTTTTATGGTAACCTGACAGAAGATATTTATATGACTCCACCTCAAGGCTTATTCTCTTCATCTAAAGGCGTGTGCAAGCTGAAACGCTCCTTATATGGTTTGAAACATGAACCTAGAGCATGGTACGAGAAATTCCACTCCACTCTACTTGGATTCTCCTTTACTCAGAGTCAGTATGATTCCTCATTATTTATTCATAGCATGTCTACGGGTATTGTTCTGCTTCTTTTATATGTTGATGATATGGTTATTACTGGTTCTGATCATGCTTCCATTCAGTGACTTAAGCAACAGTTACAGGCCTCATTTCACATGAAAGATCTGGGTAATCTACATTATTTTCTTGGTCTTGAGGTTCATTCTACACCAAAGGGCATTTTTCTCCATCAACACAAATATGTTACAAATTTGATTTCTATGGCCGGTCTCGAATTGGCTAATCCGCTAGATACTCCTCTTGAGGTTAATGTTGAATATCATTATTGTGATGATGGTGATCTTTTGCCTAATTCTTTATTGTATCGACAACTTGTGGATAACTTCAACTACTTGATTGTTACTCGCCCTGACATATCTTTTGTTGTTCAATAAATAAGTCAATTCATGCGTTCTCCTCGCCATCTTCACTTGGATGCGGTTCGTCGTATAACTCGCTACTTGAACGGAATTACATTTATCTTAGGAGATTGTATAATTGTAATTCAATGTATAAATAAGAAGGTAAAAACACTTACAGCAGCAACGAAACTTTGAGGAATTGTATTATAATTGAGCAGATCATCTTTTGAGTCTATTTGTTTTCCCTTAGCCGGTTCATCAATGATTGGGGCAGATTCAAGTAACTAGGAGGGAAAAATAATATTGAATCATTGACATTGAAATGAATGAATAAAATATAAATACAAAAAGCACTTGAGTTTTTGCAAGTGAATGAAACCAAACAAACCTTGGTAGAAATCAAAGCATCTTCTATCATTGAGATAACTTCTTTGTCCTGTATTATTTTGACAACATAAGCCTGATTGTAGAAAAAGTTGGTATTTTGAACGGAAAGCAAATGTCTTCTTAAGCAGTTTGTCAAGGTGTTTGGGGTATATCTTTGGATGGTCCTCATTTGTCTAGGCCGAGTAATGTAAAAAAAATGAAAATACTTTTAAGGATTATATTGAATTAGCATTACATCTGGCCGTTCTGTAATAGTATTTATAGTATAGAGTATGTCTTGGAATATTTTTTGTATATATATAAAGAAGGAGATTAAGAACATAGTATGTAATTAATGTAATGTAAGTGCATGATAGTAGACTTATGTGTCCGTTTTTATTTTAAGAAAAATTAGTGTGTCCAATAATAGAATAATGAACCAGGTTAATGTAGCAACAAAGTGTAGCCCTTTTTAAGACTAGTTGAAAGATGTTTGTATTTGAGCGCTTTAGTGGGGCCTATGATGGCCATTTGGAGTTGGTGGCTTCCAATTGGTGTTCGAGAAAGCGGGGCAAATAAAAAAGAGACCAAGAGGATAGATAGACCAAGGAAGCACGAGACACAATCCAATGTATGAAACCAAAAACTGATAAAATTGAATCAAATCTCATTCTCTAAGATGATATTGTTTCTTTGTCCCTGTATGCCCTTTTCAATTTCCTTTCCCCATCATTTTACTAACATATTAAACTACAAACCACACACTAACCACATTAAATTCAAACCCGTGTTGCATTTTACAAATTTGAACCCAACCCATGTTTCATTTTGCTCAAGGAATGAGAAATTTGATACCTTTTCAGAGAATGAAAGGCTTGGATTGCTCAACAAGCCTTCATGCGTTCCATTTGGAAATGGGTCATCTTCTGAAATTGAAAGGGATGCAGAGAATGGCTTTGTGCAAAAGGAAGATGTTTTGAAACCCCTTTTGAAGATTTTCAATGAAAGTGATTCTCTTGAAGAAGAGACTGAGATGGTTAGTTGTATTGGTGAATACTATGAACCAAAACCTGGTGATTTTGTTGTTGGTGTTGTTGTTGGAGGTAATGAAAATAGGCTTAGTGTAAATGTGGGAGCAGAGTTAGAAGGGACAATGTTGACTAAAGAAGTGCTTCCATTGTATAGTAGAGAAATGAAGTATTTGTTTTGTGATGAGAAAAAGGAGGGTGAGAATTTTGTGGTTCAGGGTAGAATGGGAATTTTGAGAAATGATGATATGATAAATGGAGTGATGGTGGGAGAAAAGAGTAGTGTTGTAGAGATTGGAACAGTTTTGTTTGCTGAGGTTTTGGGTAGAACACTTACTGGCAGGCCATTGCTCTCTAGTAGAAGGCTCTTTTGTCGGATTGCTTGGCATCGACTGAGGCAGGTTTCGCTCTTTCTTTCGTTTATCAATTTTCGCTCTCATGTGTTTTGGAGAGATGATGAGAAACATAACATTTTCTAAAATAAAAACAAACCTTAAAACTATGCTCCACCAACATTTCAGATTGAAAATGTGTCTGGTGTCTGACACCGACACAAAAGTGTATGTGTACGAAATTACTTTTAATAGCAATTTCTATATGTTAGTGTCAATGGTATGTTTGGTGTCTGTGTTAGTGTTTCATAGTTGATGAGATTTAATTCTTCTGTTTTGGATGTTTTGGGCAGATAAAACAGCTCAACGAACCTATAAACGTTAGAATTACCGAGTGGAATAAGAAGGGCCTTCTAACGAGGATCGAGGTCTGTGCATTGACATGCCTGTTTATCTCAATGTTGTAGCATTTTGGAAATTTTTTATTTATTTTTGAATTTGGATCGGCAGGGTTTGCGAGCTTTCCTTCCCAAGGCAGAACTTGTGAAAAGAGTAAACAGCTTTACTGATTTGAAAGAAAATGTAAGTTTTACTACTGGAATTATGATACTCTAGGATTGTATTCTCATGAATTGTTATACATGTAACATAATATAGGAAAATGATGCAGGTGGGGCGATGTATGAACGTACAAATTACAGAAGTAGATGAAGCTAGAAACAATGTGATACTTAGTGAGAAGAAAGCTTGGGTCCGTAATGTTTCAGTTTTGCAGTTTTTACATTTACTCTCTCGTTTTGGTCTTTTGAAATATGTGCTGTCAAATGGATATGATGTTACAGGAAAAGCTATATCTTCAGGAAGGAACTCTTGTTGAAGGGACTGTGAAAAATATTCTTCCATATGGAGCACAAATAAGAATAGGAGAAACAAATAGAAGGTGAGTGATAGTTTTCAATAGATAGGTAACTCTTCAAGGAGCAATTTCATCTTCTGATTATTGTTTTCCATTTATATGTTAGAAATGATTGAAAAACTAACTCGATATTATTTGCATATGCGTTTATATAATCTGAAGTTTAAAATTACTCTGTTGGGTGCCTTTCAGTGGATTGTTGCATGCTTCAAATATTACTCGAGCTAAAATTACTTCTGTCGGTGACATTCTCTTTGTTAATGAGAAGGTTAAAGTTCTTGTCGTGAAATCAGCTTTTCCAGATAAAATTTCTCTAAGGTAATGGATTTCAAATTGGATCTTGGTATTGGTTGGTGCCCTTTGGATTTAAAGTCACATTTTGGTATTCTATAGTTGAATTTAGTATTTTTCCTCTTAGAATTTGAGGTTTAGGCCAATCTGAATCTCACAAAACTGGTTTGTAAGATGAGGACTAGTCAAAGCCTTATAAGGACTATCTAAGTCATATTTCCAGTAGACACAAGACTCTCAACACACCCTCTAACACTTGGGACTAGAGACCTGAAGCATTAATCGATACGGTTGGAAAATATAGATCTCAACACACCGTTTCATGCCTAAAACTGAAGGTTTTGAGTTAGAATAACAAAGATCCTTGCCTACTAACATACTTGCTTGGTTTCATTGACACTTTCTTTGCTTGAAGATTGATTAGGAGATTCATCACATAATATTTTGTTTCTTGGCATGTAGCATTGCGGACCTCGAGAGCGAACCTGGCCTATTTCTATCAAACAAAGAGGTATTTTATTCTTCCTTTTATATTAATAAAGTTCTTTATCTTAAGTCATGTTGATATTTTGAAATGTTTGTTTGTTTTTGAGTGAAAAGAAAGTATTTGTAGAAGCAGATATGATGGCAAAGAAATACAAAGAAAAGCTACCTCCTGCTTTTATCACAAAAGGATCACAACCCCTCTCTCAGAGTGTCTTGCCTTTTGAAAATGAAGCACTTTATGCTAATTGGAAGTGGTTCAAGTTTGAAAAATAATAAAGAAACAAGTTAACCTTGAAAGCATTGATGCCTTTAGGTTTATTTTTCCCTTTTAATTTTTTTGTTCATTACAGCATATCCCTACCTCTCTTGCTTATCATTTTATGGATAGATTTATGTAGTATGTAAGTTCTTATTTATGATATAGCTACATTTAATTCACTCAAATTTTGGTTAGTTTTTTCCCCTTTCACATGGGGTTGAAATTGTGAATCCAATTGTAATTACCAATTTCAATTTAGACAAGGTACAACAAGCATATGCTATTGTCATGAACAATGTTCATTAATACGTTACACTTGGACGTTCATGGTTGTCATAATGTGGTCCAACTTCTTTTCAGAATAGGCCAACACGTATATGATCGAAGTTGATCTCTCTTAAGGGAGAATATTGCAAGCCTTATTCCCTTTCTTGGAAGGAGTTTAACAGTCTTATCCCTTCTCATGAGAGGTCGTTCTGAAGGTAATTGCACTCGATCCCTTTAGAGGATAGTGTAGCATGACTCGATTCCATTATTTTGGAAGTAATATAATATAGTCCTACTCTTACAAAACAGGCCGACTCGTAGGCAATTGTAGTCAATACCTCTTAGGGGAGAGTATCACAGGACTCAGTCCCTTGGATTTATGAAGAATTTAACATTGTTCTACTCTCTTTCAAGATAGGGAATTTCTTTCCCCATCTTAACACCTTAGTCACTTCTGACGAAATTTCGTTTTACTCTTATATTTCGGAGATGTATTTCCGAATGCACCATATTTCATTTTTCTAGAGTGATTTCGAAGATGTATTTCTAAAGTTACGAAATATCATTTTTTTGGGATGAATTCGGAGATGTATTTCCGAAGATACCCAATGCTTTATTTCGGATGTACATTTCCGAAATAAACACCGAATATTTTCTCCAAAACAGAAACTTTGAAACATTGACCTTGAAACATAGATATAACATAGATGTTGAAATATTGATATTACATAAACAATAACATAAATTTAACATGGAATGTCGAAATTACATAGATATTGAAACATAAATTTAACATTACATATTGTTATAAACGGGTAACTGAGGATGTTGCAACATTTTGATAACATCTTCACCGGATCTCTAAATCTTTGCATCCAATTCAATCGGACCCTTAGTAGAGTATCAATGAAAAATACTCCACATAACCTTTAAATCTTCATCCGTCTTCAGCTCAAACTTGGTGAACTTGACCTTTCCTTCAGTGTCAAGTGATGGAAAACGATACTCGAGCTTCACTACCTGCCGATTTTCTGGATATTGTAAGAGAGTTAAGTATGGTAATGAGCTCGGCGAGAAGCGTGTCATCGCAAAATCTAAATTGAAGTGGCAGTGTCGCATTGTAATACGGTGGGAGAACTGACTTTTTTGTTTTATCGTAAATGTTGCAGTTAACAAGAGTCGCCACCGACTTTTCTTTTATCCAATATTTAGGAAAGGTGAAAAGAACATGAAAGACCTTTGATAGATTTTGAGTTCGGGGAGTAAGTTATGAAAAGAGAAGGTGTTAGTACCCTTTTCATCCGTAGTTATCTACGAGCTCTTAATTGCTTAGCTCACTTTTAAAAAACTTGCTTTGTGTGCGTGTGTGCGATTTGTTTGAAAATATTCTGAAATGCCAATGTAAGACTAACTTTGTAATAATTCTTGTATCAGTCCTCAAGAATGTATACAAAGTGTTTTTTGAAAATATTTGTTTGAAAGTGTAGTGTGGAAGATGTTTTGTTTGTGAGAAAACATTCAAGAGTCCTACCCACTAAGGTCTTTCTTGTTATTTTCCTTCTCCTTTGGGGATAATATTATCCATACCATTAGTTTGTAGGTAATCCTATCTATTGGATGTAAAGGGACAAGCGTAGGATCATCGTATGGTCATCGAAGGCAACATGTAAGGATACTTTAGCAATTGTATCAAAGGGACTATCATCATTTCGCTCGTAGGGTCATTGAAGAGACTAGATCATTTTGTAGGCAACTCGAAGGGTCATCGAGGGACTATGATCTTTATGATGATTTGTTCGAGGATCTTTTGCTAAAGTATTCTCACTTTTGAGGGACATGACTAATATTATTGTAAGGCAGCAAGAGAGGTTACCCTAGAACTGCAAGTGTGCAAAGTGTGTTAATTTCAGTTATTTAATATTGAGAATTAGGGCTTTCTAGATTGCTTTTAGTCTTGTCATGCAAACCCTAGTTATTAACAGTTAAATATATACAGAAAAATAAAGGGCAGAATGTAAAGTCTTACGTTATTATATGGTTTTGGGACAATTGCATAATAGAAAAAATGTGAGAAAAATAAATCTACGTTATTACATCGGTAGTTGCGACCTATACAATTGTTCTAGGAATTTAAATAGCGATAAGAAAAAGAACATTAGAAAAATGTTTAAAGACCTAAAGTTCTATATTAATGTTTTTGGTGTTTTTTTTTAGAAAATAATTTAAGTTAATAATAGTAATTAAACCTAAATTCTAATTTATTTTACTGTTAAGAAAAGCTAATTAACCTAATTAATTAATAAATAAAAATATGTCAAAAAATTATTTACTAACTAGAAAACCGTAATCCTAATTTGTGATAATTTTGGAAAAAAGTTTGAGGTTAGAAAATTGATTAATTAGAAAATAATTAGTAAAATAGAATGAAGATTATGGTTAGTAAAATAAGGAAAAAACAAATGCATTGGTGGGACTTGAAACCACGTCCTTCCCTTCAATGACCATTCCCATTACCACTACGCCACGTTATTTTTGTGTTTGAGAATAGGAATGAATCAACATATGATGAACTTGCGTTGTAAATCCTGAAAAAAGAAAAAATATGATTTTTGAAAAAAGGATGGCTCGAACCCACGCCCTTTACTATATTAGTCATCACTCTTACCACTGTTGGCTGAAGATTTTGATAGTATTATTAGAAGCAAAACAAATTGGACGTTTCGATCGAAATGGAACAAAGCGTCATGTTTCGAAATAGCAGAAGCAGTGTTTCGAATGAACATATCAAAGCTTGGAGCTTCGAGTGGCAATTATGAGAATATATCCAAAGAAGTCTCGAAATGACAACAAGGCTGTATCTAAGGAATGCGTTCGAAGCGAAGAAGTGCCAAAACATTTGAAATTCAAATGAAAGCGGGATGTTCGAAGTTTGAAATGTATGCGCTGGAGCATTCGAAGACACGTGGAAACAAGAGGGAGGCATTGTTCTGCATGTTCTGAACGTGGCAGAATCTTATAGCAAGACCGTTATGGTCGAAGTAGTATAAATAGAAGTCTTAGCATTAGGATTTCGTGTGTCATATTTATTGTACAAAATACTCAGTAAACATTCAAATTACCACATGGCTAGGGAAACGAATGCAAGAGCAATGTACGTATGATAACACCACATATTTATGATTTAATGAAAACCCTTTATCATTTCCAGTACTTTCCTTTATCTTTTTGTCAAATACCATTTACAAGTTTTTGCATTTAAAGTACTTTCATTCGAAATCTTTTACTGATGCCTTACATCTAAACATTTTCTTTCCGTTTCAAATACTTTACATTTCAGAAACTGTTATACATTTCATGCCTTTATCTTCAAGTTTTTATCCTTCAAACACCTTTTTCATTCAAAGTCATTTTACAGTTTTCTTGCATTAAATGCTTTCTTCATAATTCGAATCTTTTACATTCCAGAGCATTTTTTACATTAACTGTTTTTATAATTCGAAGTCATTTACTTGTCTTTTATGCAGTTTTACATGTCTTTACAATTAGCCTTTATTCATGCAATTTAGTTTCGCGCACATTTATTTTGATCATACCTTTAGATCTTTAAGAGAAAATCGAAATAAGTTAAACGCTTACACAACATTTAAATACCAACCATGAATACCTGTTCGATCATGAGAGTTACCGTAATAACCAACACGTCCTAGGATCAATCTAGTCGATCCTGCGAGTTACCAGAGGAATTGAATAACAGTCAGTAAGTTTATTCGATAGTTTGGAAGACTAGCGGTTGTTTACCAGAAATCACTGTAAACAACCACCAGGCCAATTGTTGTTGCGCGTTTGTATAATCATCATCATTCAATATAATATAAACTTAATTCAGAAAATCAGGAATCAAACAAAATTATACACGCGCGTGTTAGTAGGGCCTAAAAATTTGAATGGATCAATCATATGACTTATATTTGCCACGCAAGCCTTGACTAGAGTCAGCGCCACCATGGACTGTGGCTGCAACCGTCTTCTTTGGTGAGGAGATTTTTGAAAACCTGCGAAAACGGATGAAAACGAAAGATCTAATAACTTATACCCACTAATTAGAATGCTGCGAGTTCAATGGTGGTGTTAGTTTGGCCTGAAAACACCTGTAGCACAGAATACGAATCTCAAATAAAGCTTTTCCCTAACAATGCTAAATCTTCATCTCTGCCTCAAACCTCATAAATAATGGTTTAAAAACATTCTAAACATGATTATGAACATGTATATATGCATCGAATCATTCAACAATGCACGAATTAAGAGTTTAAAATTCAAGAAGTTTACCAAACCGGAGTAACTTGGTTGGCACGTTCTGAGATGCTTCAAGCTTGAGTGATGGGTGGGATGAACTCCTGGGAACCTCAGGAGTGTGAAATGATGCTTGGAATGGATTGATAGAGGTCGGGGATAAGGGTTTTGAGTTGCCCTAGTTTCTTGAAAATTTTGGAATTTTAGGGTTTGTTCTTGAGGAAGCTTGCGTGTCCTTTGATTCCTGAATATGTTGAGTATATATAGAGGATAAGATTAGGTCAACTATTGTGAGATGAATCTTTGTAATTCACGGTGAAGAGATTTGATTTAAAATTTGCATGAAAAGCTTCTATTTTAGGACAAATTAAATATCTATGATCCCACACAGTTTTTCTAGCTGGTCAAGAGCTTTTTTGGGCCTCCATGTAATTAAAACAAAAGTCCACACGCC